GGGTACCCCTTGGAAAAATCTCGGAAAAATCGAAAATTTTTTTTTCACGGAATTTCGACAAATGCTTCGAATAAAAGTTGTAGATGATACTATTACCTATGAAAAATTTGAAATCACTATAATTTTAGATTTTTAATAGTAATAGGAATCTATAATAACAAATTCAACATGCCAGCATTGTTTAAGTATATGTATAGCCTATACATCCTTAAATTAAAAGTAAGGAAGTGACAAACGTGGACAAATAAGAATCTATGTAAATTGTACTCGTGAAGACATTGACAAAGATGTGAAATACATATAATATTCCTGCCCAAGTCATACCTAGCTCTGGTGATCGGGCCAGATGACAAGCAAAAATCGATCAACGCTCGCGTTTCGAACTCCATCGTTCTTCTTTTATTCTATGTGCTTTCTTAAGTTCTCCTGAGATCTCGCGGTACGAATCCCGTATCGATAACGATTTTCCTGTCACTCAAAAATCGTCTTGAACTGAGATTCAGATGAGCCCGTCAAAAGAGATTTGGAGAAACCAGATGTGGCGTGAGATTTCTTCGTGTCAACGTCGAAATAATTAGAGAAGCGTGTGCGACGATAAAATTATCAAACGTGACTCGTGAGAATATAATTGTTCGTTGCTCTTTCTTACTTTCACAAACTAAGGGCAAGAATCAGATAACAATTACAGCCTGCAGTGACAAACCGTAGGCTAAATTTAACGCGGGCTAGAAGTAGCTGACTGACTAATCACTCTCGACTCTGTAAATCGACACAGAAGAGACAAGAATTCAACACTAATTGGTTGGTTAATAAATGAGAAAGAAAAGAACAGGTCCTGAGAATGTTTGATGCGAAAGTCCTTCGAAATCAGCTAACGAAATGTTAGACTGTCGTCGTCCAGCGACGATAATTAATTGGCTCCAGCTGAGAACGTGGGAATCGAGATCAGTAGAAGCCACGCGGGTATCGGTGCTTCTTGAGAATCACTCGGCACGCGGATCGTAGCTTCGCTCCCATGGAGCCGAAGGCCAAACGAGCGATGAAGAAGATGCTCATATCTCAATATCTTCGATCCCCGTCGAGGAAACAAAGGTTTATCAATTTTTTCTAATGAGTTCAACAGCGACGAAGATTTACAGATAACAATTTAACGATTTTAATTAGGGATGAAGGAACTCGAAGAAGATTTCCAAGAGCAACGCGTGCACGAGTCTTCCACGGACCAGCCGGGAAATCAGACTGACGCTACGTCGAATAAAAACGTACCAACTAAGCCACGATACGTTCTTTCGACCTTTTTCAATAATTAACGAACGCAATACAAGTTAGAGAATGTACGATCTACAGTAGGTATAGCTAATTCGTTTCTCCCTACTCTAGTAGCTCTCCCTACCTCGCCATAGCGGTCGCCGTAAATCGGCAACTTGTATAACGCGCACACATTATTTAACGTATCCTTACTTATGCTATAACTCAGGGCGGTGTCACGTACGCGACACGGTTCGCCATGCCTGATCTACAGCCTGCCGTTAAACACAAGGCGAGCGCGTGTCGCGTTTGATTGATCTCCCGGCGGCTATAGGCGGAAAGTACGAAACAATAGAACCGGAAGCGAAGGTTTAGAAAGTTCTGGAATAGCTGTTAAACGCCGAGCAAGTTCATCGCGGAATTTCCGGAAAATCTCCTGTAATTTATTCCCTTTCCTGTCTATTTATATTCAGATTCATACTCGTAACTCAACGAAGAAAGTGTAATCTGTAGCTCGCTAAACAAGTCGAATTACTTTGTTAAGGGTGTATTGGCTATACAGTCAATCCCAAAAGTTTATGCACTTTAGAAACGCATTTTTTAAAAAGAAATCAGACGTCGGAAGAACATTGCT